CACGCCACTGTTACCCAGGATCTTCTGCCTGTATGCTTCCGCGTCAACTCGCACGTCCTCCAGAAGCGTGGCTTCACCGACCACGGTGCCTGTGCGTACATTGGTGCGCTTTGCAGGCCTCTCCAGCGTAAAACTCCACAGACCAAGCTTGCCCTCAAAGTCATACTCGGGGCGCGAACGAGCACAAACCGCGAGCACCATAACCTTTGGCATGCGTGATTTGTGGAACACACGCGGCAGAGCAGGAACGTAATACTCTCCTTTGTCGTTCGGGAACACTCTCGTCTCCATGCGTTTCGTTTTTCAAGTCAGTGAATTTCCTTGTGCGCTTGTCCAGTTGAGAGAGGACGAGTTTCATGCGCTTTATTTTGTGCTCGATTGTCAATTTTGGCTTGATATATCGCCGCTGTCTCCGCATTTGAAGAGCCTTGCACCAGGTCCGAACTGTCACAGGTAAGGCATCTACTCCCTCTTCTCCCAGCTTGCTGGCCAGTCGCTTGAAAGACAATCAACCCCAGTTCCGATTATTGATGTTAATCAGCTTTTGTGCGATTTCAGCTGTGAACTTTTGAACGCCTCGGCCGCACTTGAAGTAGAATAGTTCGCCTCTCTCTCTCCACAAGTATTTGATACCATACTTCACGTTTATTTATTGCTTCAAGTTATAGATTTTGAATTTGTACGTCGTGTTCTTCGTTTTGAGACTTTGCCAAGCAGAGCTGTGCGAACAGCTTCTTTGTCAGCGGTCCACCTGCCGTGAGTTCTGCGGCATACAGAGTGACGTCCTTTCGATTTGGGGTCTTGATGTCTTTTTGTCCGGTGTGCACAGTAACTGGCGTTGTTGGCAGTGTTTTGCTTTTCAGCACACAAGCGGCTACATCCTTCACTCTTTCTTTCTTGCCAGGCATTTTCGTAATCTCTCTGCTCCAAGGAACTCACCAGAATGATGGTTAGGAAGGCTCTGTTTCTCATTTTCGAGCCTTGGTGTCGTGCACCTGGGGTTGTGTTCTGGTGACATTCTGTCAAGAAACAGTTGTGCTCCGCCGATATTTTTCGAAAGGACCCCACACTTTATGGAGGTTCAAAAGCCTGTCAAAACAATGTGCCCCACAGCGGCTACCCTATGTAGGGGATAGATCACTGACATGTTTGTCTAATGCCGACAGAGAGATCATGACAAGAACACATAAAACGCAACGAAGTTTAGATTCTTAATACGGAGGAAGTAGTTACGTAACCTGTGAGCAGTCCAGTCTTTTCCTTACGTTTGTGGAGTTCGTTTCTTTGTTAGCTTTCTCTCTCTTTCTCTCCATTTCTGTAAAGTTATTGTCAGGTTCCTGTGGATAATAATACTTCAGAATAATAGAAAAGTATCTGTAGTATGTGTGTGCGAAACGCCGCCAACACGGGGAATACAGTAGAACCTGTAACTAACGACCACCCCTTGGTGCCCGGAAAAGTGGTCTTTAGTGGCAGGTGGTCTTTAGTTAGAGGTTTGCACCGCGTGACCATATATGGATCCCATTATATGATATGTATGTCAAAATGCAGATAATACAATCCCCCACCACTTGCGCACTGACATTCTTCTTTCAGATCATACAACACTTGGAGACAAAGAAATCAAGTTTTATTGCAGACATTAAATTCAGCTCCTACTTCTGAAGCCAGGAGTCAAGAGTTCCCTGTTGAAGCTTCTCTTTGCGCTGGGCTTCAAGTTTGTTCATGAAGGCACCAAGTTTCTCTACATCCATTGCCATGGTAGACAAGCCACGCTGCAACGTAAACTGTTGCAATGTTGAGATGCAGGACAGTGCTTCTTTGCCGGATACTTCTCTGACTTCTGTGGACTCAGTGTGACCTGGTGTGGTGACTGAGCTGTGTGATTGCACTTCGACAGAGAGCCGCTCAGTCTTAGTTTCTCCTTCGAGTAGTAACATCGATCAAAGAGCGCTTTGGATACGCTCTCCAAGACGTTTCCTATCATGTTTGTTCTTGACAGCACTTGAAATTATGACAGGTGTAGTGCAGTCCACACTGATTCCACAGTCAAAATGAGACTGCGTTCATTTGTCCAGCTGTAGTATCGAAACAGTCCTTTCAGGATCATGGAAAATCATCAACATTTCGAGAAGGAGCTTCGAGCAATGTTTGATTTCCTACATCGCGGTCGCTAGTTACGGGTCAAAATTCGACATTGGGACAAGAAAAGGCGGTCGCTGGTCGCGTTCAGCAGGTAGTCGCTAGTCACAGTGCATTTTGAATGTGAGACCGTCCGTGACTGACAAAGTGGTCGGTAGTACAGGTCGTCCCCCGTTAATACGAGTCCGGTTAGTACATAAACCCCGTGAGTACATAAGAAATCTCAAGTCCCGGACGAAACGTGATCACTTCCATACAAATTTTGTCGGTTAGTACATAATTCGTTAGTACATAAACCCCGTTAGTACATAACATTTCTCCGTGCCCGCATGCCACCTACCTCAATAGTACATAATTTGTTGGTCTTTTGGCCTTCCAGTGGAGACACATCGTGTTCTAGTTTCTACTTGTGGGCGCAATTAGCTCAGAAATCAGAGTCCACATCACAAACCGACAAAGCTCTGTTTTTTTCCGAGTGACTGTACAGGCAAGACTGGGCATGTATCATGTGCACTATAGAATCGTCGCTGACTGTGACCGTTATAACATAATGTTTATGTTATATCGAGGGAATCAAGAATATCTCGCTCCCAAGTCATGGTAGCAAGAAACGCTCAGAAAAGTTGAAAAAAGTGAAAAATTCTGGTACCCAAGCAAGTTATGTACACTTTCGTTTAGTACATAAACCCCGTTAATACATAACATTTGTCAAGTCCCAGAGATTATGTATTAACGAGGGACGACCTGTACCAGGCTGGTCGCTAGTCACGATGGTCGTTAGTTACAGGTTTTACTGTAAATAGATAACATCGGTGCCTAACGTGGCTGCCATGCTTACAGAGGGCTTTGCATGCTGTGCGGACCAGCCTGATGCATCCAGCCTCACTCTTTTCTTTTTGTTTTGTTTTCAGCGGCTGCTCCAACCTTCTCATCACCAAAGCGAGTCTCTCCCACTACAGCAGCGATTATCCAGCCTGGTCGGTCAGCCCAACAAGATAATGTTGTCCCAATTACCAATGATGCTTGGCAGAGTACCCGCCTGGTAGGTGTCAAATAATGCATTGCACGCGTTCTCCACCGATCCACAGTCACCCATCGTGTTCCGTATATTGGCCACGATTTGTTCATGCGCGTCTGCTAAAAATCCGGAATGCTTGGTAGCAAACTGTATCAGTATCATCTAACAGCATCTGCCTCATCCCATCAAGCGTTCTTCGTGCCGAGCCAACATTCATCTCTGGTATGCCAAGTGAAACGAACCTTCTGCTAGTGTTACTTGGTAGCCTGCGTACTTGTGTCCGTGTTTAGTTGTGGTGTCAGTATGAAGTGTCGTGGCCACGTCATCCTGCACATCCTTCACTGCCCTTTGTTGGTCACCCTCTTTCATCTCAACAACCATAATTATCGGCAACAGAAGAAATTGACGGTAAATGTTCTCAATCCACATGAAATGCATTATGGGTAACGCTGAGTATAACAGGAACAACACTACCTTCACAGGTGTTATGCGATAATATTCATAGCAGCACTTCCAAGTGTTGTCTGAGTACCTGTTGTGGTCGTAATGGAAAACATCAACTTCCGGGCTATTCTGAGAACTGGCATTGTCCAGCTCCTCCCGAAGACCAGCAATAATGAGATCACGCTACAATAATGATGATTAGAGCTCTCGTATCCGTCTTGAGTTGCTCTCGTATCCGTCTTGAGTTGCTCGCGCCGTCGGCTTCAGACCCGGGCTCAGGGTTGGAGGATTCTTCTTCAGAGCTACTGTTGTTGAAATCAGTTGACTCCTGCCGGAGTTTCAGCCTATATCGGGCATCATAGAGGCGAGCAGAAACAGTTTTCGACCGAGTCCTCATGTCTTCAAGTTCTTTTCCATGCCGAGCTGCTCTTCCACTCTGGCTATGGCTTCTTCTTTTCGCTCTATTCTTTTTGTTAGATTTCGAAATTTTCGCGTATAGCTTTTGGCGGCGATGCGTCCACTCCACTGTCTTCCCGCTGCTACTACTACTACTGGCTGGGACCACAGCCGGAATCGCTGCCGGGACTGTTGCCGGGGCCGCCATCGGGACCGCCGCCAGGATCATTGATACAGGTTTGGTTTCAGAAATATGGCTTTCACTTCTTCTTGGCCCAAGTATAATTAAAAAAACACTGGCATCCTTTCTCACCATCCGTTCCATTCTCTTCACAGCCGTTGATAGAGTCTGTGGCGGCAACTCGTCATCACGCGGCCATTCCTCTCCGTACAAATACCGCAGTCAGGACGAGCAATCTTTCCCCATCTTCCAGAACTCACTGCGCAGTTTGTCAAGATCCAACACCGCTCCGTTTGTCAAACTAACACCGTCCTCGCTTCGGCAAGCTGGATCGGTGTTACCGTAGGTCAAAGATCCACGACAACGCCACAGGAGTCCAAGTGGCTTCCAGCTGTGAGAAAAACTTCAACAGAGTTGGAGCGAAGCCAGCTACGAAGCTGAACATTTGGATTTAGAGAAATTAGGGTACGCTCTACACATTGAGACAACAATCAGCATTGCATGCCGCCTAAAACTACCTCAAATACACATCGTCAATATCGCGTACACAAAAAGCCAACTTCTCCTCATCGCACAGCGCTGGAATCTGGAAGCGCAAAAAAGAGCAAAGCTTCACTAGTTCCGACCAGGTCTTCTAGCTGTCCAAAGTAAAACCCCGCTTTTCAATTTTTCGATTTTCTGCACCATTAGGTTATTGTGCCATCGTCCCCATACTTGTTGTCGTGTCGTGCTTGCATACCCTGACAGGCGACACGTGACCCGGCCTGGAGTACCTACTGATAGAGACACAAAACACAGCAAGAAATATTGACTGCTTACCAATATTGGAGTGTATTTTCTTCCTGAGGACTTGGCATTTGATTGACCTCGTAACTGTACAATCTATTTTCTTCGAAGATGGCAGCACTTTCGCTTACTCTCACGGCGGATCATGATGGGTCAGGTGATCTGGCAGTGTGGAAGAAGGTGCACTCACACATACTGGTTATGGCAGCCAGGTATTGAAGCAGGCACTGCACAATCCACAGGTTGTGCAGAGAGATGGTGTCCTGCTAAACACACATGCAGAAAAAGCACAAGCAAGGACATGTACAGTAACATGCAATCCAGGCCGTCATGGCATACTACTGCTTGCAGACCTCAGCACCTCGGCACCCGCACATCTGTATGGAGATTACTGCACAGCATTACTTTGAAGTAGACATAGGAATGTACTGTTGTGGACATTTCAATCCGGCGAGAAGTCAAGCGGCCGCGGGGTGCTGACCTTGCAGCCATGATACTTATACTGTACGCATTCAGGCAACTTCTCAGTCAGCAGTACACCTGCACCACCGGCGGCTGTCTTTGCACAGTGAGCATCATAACAAGAGAGAGGCATGAAACCCAGAATGTGCAGCTCGGCTGAATTGCTGGCTCTGATTACATCATTTTAATGATGATGTAGTTCGTACAAGCAGGACTCAAGCAGATCTCCGTTCCTGCACAACTGCAGCTCGGCTGTACACATTACGCCACTTCCCGCCGCAAATCTAGACAAACTACAAACGAAAATCCAGTGGAACAGAAACGAGAGAGCTGCCAAGCCCAGTGCCGTCGCTAATATTTTGTTTTATCTAGGTCACCACGCTTGTTAGTCGAACGGCTATAAATGTCATCGCAATACAAGAACATGTACCCGATACATTTAGGCGTATTGCAAAGGCTTTTCTAGCAGTTCGAATAACAAGCATGATGACCTAGGTATAGCAAAGCATAGCAAGGGACCTGGACTTGCCAGCTCTCTCGTTTCACAGTTCTCAATCCCGAACAGCTAGCTGTTTCGACTTTGTTAGGTCTCACTAGCGGAGCTCAGGGTCACTGGCTGAACCTATTGCTCAGGGTAACTGGCTGAACCTATTGCTCAGGGTCACTGGCTGAACCTATTGCTCAGGGTCACTGGCTGAACCTATTGCTCCGTGTCACTGGCTGAACCTATTGCTCAGGGTCACTGGCTGAACCTATTGCTCAGGGTCACTGGCTGAACCTATTGCTCAGGGTCACTGGCTGAACCTATTGCTCAGGGTCACTGGCTGAACCTATTGCTCAGGGTCACTGGCTGAACCTATTGCTCAGGGTCACTGGCTGAACCCATTGCTCAGGGTCACTGGCTGAACCTATTGCTCCGGGTCACTGGCTGAACCTATTGCTCCGGGTCACTGGCTGAACCTATTGCTCCGGGTCACTGGCTGAACCTATTGCTCCGGGTCACTGGCTGAACCTATTGCTCCGGGTCACTGGCTGAACCTATTGCTCAGGGTCACTGGCTGAACCTATTGCTCAGGGTCACTGGCTGAACCTATTGCTCCGGGTCACTGGCTGAACCTATTGCTCCGGGTCACTGGCTTAACCTATTGCTCAGGGTCACTGGCTGAACCTATTGCTCAGGGTCACTGGCTGAACCTATTGCTCAGGGTCACTGGCTGAACCTATTGCTCAGGGTCACTGGCTGAACCTATTGCTCAGGGTCACTGGCTGAACCTATTGCTCCGGGTCACTGGCTGAACCTATTGCTCCGGGTCACTGGCTGAACCTATTGCTCCGGGTCACTGGCTGAACCTATTGCTCCGGGTCACTGGCTGAACCTATTGCTCCGGGTCACTGGCTGAACCTATTGCTCAGGGTCACTGGCTGAACCTATTGCTCAGGGTCACTGGCTGAACCTATTGCTCAGGGTCACTGGCTGAACCTATTGCTCAGGGTCACTGGCTGAACCTATTGCTCAGGGTCACTGGCTGAACCTATTGCTCAGGGTCACTGGCTGAACCTATTGCTCAGGGTCACTGGCTGAACCTATTGCTCAGGGTCACTGGCTGAACCTATTGCTCAGGGTCACTGGCTGAACCTATTGCTCCGGGTCACTGGCTGAACCTATTGCTCCGGGTCACTGGCTGAACCTATTGCTCCGGGTCACTGGCTGAACCTATTGCTCTGGGTCACTGGCTGGACCTATTGCTCCGGGTCACTGGCTGAACCTATTGCTCCGGGTCACTGGCTGAACCTATTGCTCCGGGTCACTGGCTGAACCTATTGCTCAGGGTCACTGGCTGAACCTATTGCTCAGGGTCACTGGCTGAACCTATTGCTCCGGGTCACTGGCTGAACCTATTGCTCCGGGTCACTGGCTGAACCTATTGCTCAGGGTCACTGGCTGAACCTATTGCTCCGGGTCACTGGCTGAACCTATTGCTCAGGGTCACTGGCTGAACCTATTGCTCAGGGTCACTGGCTGAACCTATTGCTCAGGGTCACTGGCTGAACCTATTGCTCAGGGTCACTGGCTGAACCTATTGCTCCGGGTCACTGGCTGAACCTATTGCTCCGGGTCACTGGCTGAACCTATTGCTCAGGGTCACTGGCTGGAACTATTGCAATGAAGTCTAATGAGCAAAGCATCTCAGTCAGAGTGCTCTGACTGAGATGAACACAGAGAGCTTTGCACGAGGGCGGACATCAAATCAAAGAGCTAGCTGTGTTGTGGTACTGGCACACTGCTGGCCCTTTGGGCCCTGTAACGTGACATGCAAACATGCACTGCACGGTACACACAAACATATGAAACGAGAGGGCTTGAAACGGTCAGGAGCCCTTGCTATGCTTTGTTTTTACCTAGGCCCTCATATGTTCATCATGCTAATGTTCGAAGCAAAATGCGACACAGTCGTATGATTGTTTTAACAAACAAAAATACGCAATCCTGCCCTTGAACTCCCTATTGAATTTTGAATAGGGTGGCCAGCAGTCTTTTAGCGATATGACACGGGACAAGAGCGGGATAGCGAGCTGTCTTTGGCGATATGGCACGGGACAAGTGCGGGATAGTGCACCAGCCGCAAGGTTCGCTGCGTCACACCAGGCCCTACATGGCCTATGGCCCACATACCGAATTAAAGCGGTGTGGACCCTAAAGGCAACTTAGCAGGATAGGATGGTAACCTGATTATGAAGTTCCAGACATTCCAATTCACGGCAGAAATGAGGAAAGGGAAGGACCATTTCCTTGCTGATGCCTTGTCCAGGGCGCCAGTGGATCAGCCAGTGTAGAGGGATCATGTGGGCGAGATGGGTTCAACGGTGCCAACGGCGATGACAGAAATTGCAGCCCCAATGCAATCGAACCCCTCAGCAAGAAGGTCCCGACATCCAGACAGCAGCTCTGAAGAAGGCGGCTGAGGAGGATGCAGAGTACTAGACATTGCTCCACAAAATCTGCGAAGGTATTCCCCAGGAGTGAAGCGTAGCCGCGGCGGCCTCCAGGCCATACTGGAATGTCCAAGAACACTTGACATTGGAGAATGGCTTAGGTTTGAAGGATCAGTGCAAGTGGTACCAAAACAGCTACAGCGACAAGCGCTAGCTATTCCCACGGCACACCAAGGCATCGAGCGTACTTAACGACATGCCCAGTGGACAGTATATAGGCTGAACAATACAGACAATGATACTGAGAAGGACACACTTCAGACTCTTGAACATGTCCGTATCAGTGCATGTCATTGCATTCTTGTCTCCGAGGAAACTGTTCACGTATTTGAAATACCGTCAGACGATACCGACAATTATTGATTCCCTCGTCAGAGGTGGCACAGTGTGCAGTGAGAGTCAGGGTAGCATCGCGAAGAAACCAATGCTATCTGAACCAACGACCGGATTCCCGTTTTAACCCTTTGCCGGTCTAACTCAATGTATGTGAGGGGCGGTCACGCAAATACATGTACACACAACCAGCAATAACTCAAGAACCATGTGATGTAGGTATGGGTAAACCATATATTTTAAAAATCTGTATGCCTGAACGCGTCCAGCAAATTCAAATATGACTAGGTCCAGGCAAGGATAGGGCCCATGGTAGCCCTTCAAGTTGAGAGAAAATACAATTGCGAATGAAATACACGAATATCACAGCACGAAGGGCATACCAAGTTCGTGATGGAGCTGAAGTCGTACGATAAAAAATCAGGTAAGGGATACGTCTTTACAAGAAATGTAGGCTCTCTACAATACCGCCATTGAACACCAACACCTCGCCATTGGCGATACGCCAGCAGCAGCAATTCCCATTCCACGATATCGCAGTTTCGGTTTGTTCATCTCAGCGCTGCTCGCGTCAGATTCACTCTCGCTCAGATGAGTACTCAAGCGCGAGCTTACGCATGCCGTGATTCTCACGGTGAGGCGAATCAGCTGATCGCACCTGACGAGTCCTTGTGACAGTCACTGTCGCCATGACGGCAGCAAGAAGGCTTCCTCTCTGTTTGGAGAATTTTGTTTCTTCATTCGTGGACGATATATTTTTGAACTAGCAGGACTCAACGGAGCTCTTTTTCTCAACACACTACACTGCAAAACCTCCCGGGAGATCCAGCCTGGACTGGTGATGTTACTGCTCTCAGAACGCTTGTCAAACACGGCCCCAAGAGATGCACTCGCATTCTCGAAATGCGCGCATGGCGGATGGTCGTCTTTTCCAATTTCAACAAACTTCAGTCGATCGATACGGCAAAAATTTGTATGGAAAGCATGGTTGTTTTGTACATCGTCAGAAAGCCTTGGACCTCAGCTACGCGTAGAGCGCCATTTTAGCTGTCTCCTAGCAACAAGACCCCAAAAAAATGAGGGCCAAACGTACCGATACTATAGTATCGATTCGCTTATGGTACGCCGGTAAAGGGTTAAACGACGAGTGCTGACCTGTGCTCATGCCAAGGAGAGCAGTAACCAGTAGGTGCTTATTTACCCGACGTGACATTAGAGCTGGATGTACCAGCCTGCTATGTCGGATACCACTAACCATGCATCGACTAGGCGCCAGGCGCGAACTAATGGTGGTGGTGGTAGCGGTGAGAAGGAGAGCTCTGTGCCAGAATAACTTTGCAGCCTAGAGAGCGTGTGTGGGCAGGCGTGTATTTACCGTCATATTGCAAGGTGTGTATTTATCACCATTTGAATCAACCACAAGTACAGCTGTATTGGTGTCTTCAACTTCATTCTACGTCGTAATAGACCATATTAT